TGTCTTTTCAAAGAAGCAGCATAGAATGGATCCAACTGCTTAGTAACATATCCCATGACGAAACCTCCTGATTGATACTGCTTGCAGAATAGAGCTCATTTTCTGAAAGTGCACCTAAAGAATTTTGTGTGGTCTCATCCCTTCTCCCATGACCTATTAGTAGCTCCTTTGACTGGGTTCCAGAATTCTGAATTGGTTCAGTGGCAGAATGAAAAAGCCTTCTTTTCATCTTGACTGCTGCTCTCAGAGCTGTCGCTCTCCCACAGAGGGTTCTTTTTCAAACCATCCTTTCTGAGGATTTTTACTGTAACTCCGTAAGGATTCAAGTTTTATCTTCCTTTTGTTCCTTTTCAACATCAATTAGTTGGTGAGACAAACTGAAACAAGATAAATGTTCAGTTTTGAACTAGGAATACAATTCAAAGCTGACATTGGCTTATCAGGCTGGTAATTCTCCTTTTTCCTTAAATATTTGATGACATAAAATACAAATGTTCAATAAATGCTTGTGACATGAAATTGGGTTGAACTGAAATCCTGGGGGTGGGGGTGGGGGAAGGTAAAACAAACAGAAAAAAAAAAATGAAAAAACAAAACAACCCAAACAAAAATCAAACCCCCAAATCTAAAGTGAAACATCTGTTTTTTTTTTTTTTTTTTTAATTTTTTATTGTTGGCTGTTCAAAACATTACATAGTTTTTGATATATCATATTTCACAATTTGATTCAAGTGGGTTATGAGCTCCCATTTTTACCCCATATACAGATTGCAGAATCACATCAGTTACACATCCATTTATTTACATATTGCCATACTAGTGTCTGTTGTATTCTGCTGCCTTTCCTATCCTCTACTATCCCCCCTCCCCTCCCCTCCCCTCCCCTCTTCTCTCTCTGCTCCCTCTACTGACATTCGTTTGTCCCCCTTATATTATTTTTCCCCTTCCCCTCACTTCCTCTTGTATGTACTTTTGTATAACTCTGAGGGTCTCCTTCCATTTCCATGCATTTTCCCTTCTCTCTCCCTTTCCCTCCCACCTCTCATCCCTGTTTAATGTTAATCTTCTTCTCATGCTCTTCGACCCTACTCTGTTCTTAGTTACTCTCCTTATATCAAAGAAGACATTTGGCATTTGTTTTTTAGGGATTGGCTAGCTTCACTTAGCATAATCTGCTCTAATGCCATCCATTTCCCTGTAAATTCTATGATTTTGTCATTTTTTAATGCAGAGTAATACTCCATTGTGTATAAATGCCACATTTTTTTTTATCCATTCATCCATTGAAGGGCATCTAGGTTGGTTCCACAGTCTAGCTATTGTGAATTGTGCTGCTGTGAACATCCATGTAGCAGTGTCCCTGTAGCATGCTCTTTTTAGGTCTTTAGGGAATAGACCGAGAAGGGGAATAGCTGGGTCAAATGGTGGCTCCATTCCCAGCTTTCCAAGAAATCTCCATACTGCTTTCCAAATTGGCTGCACCAATTTGCAGTCCCACCTGCAATGAACAAGTGTACCCTTTTCCCCACATCCTCGCCAGCACTTGTTGTTGTTTGACTTCATAATGGCTGCCAATCTAACTGGAGTGAGATGGTATCTTAGGGTGGTTTTGATTTGCATTTCTCTGACTGCTAGAGATGGTGAGCATTTTTTCATGTACTTGTTGATTGATTGTATGTCCTCCTCTGAGAAGTGTCTGTTCAGGTCCTTGGCCCATTTGTTGATTGGGTTGTTTGTTCTCCTATTGTCTAATTTTTTGAGTTCTTTGTACACTCTGGATATTAGGGCTCTATCTGAAGTGTGAGGAGTAAAGATTTGTTCCCAGGATGTAGGCTCTCTATTTACCTCTCTTATTGTATCTTTTGCTGAGAAAAAACTTTTTAGTTTGAGTAAGTCCCATTTGTTGATTCTAGTTATTAACTTTTGTGCTATGGGTGTCCTATTGAGGAATTTGGAGCCCGACCCCACAGTATGTAGATCGTAGCCAACTTTTTCTTCTATCAGACGGCGTGTCTCTGATTTGATATCAAGCTCCTTGATCCATTTTGAATTAACTTTTGTGCATGGCGAGAGAAAGGGATTCAGTTTCATTTTGTTGCATATGGATTTCCAGTTTTCCCAGCACCATTTGTTGAAGATGCTATCCTTCCTCCATTGCATGCTTTTAGCCCCTTTATCAAATATAAGGTAGTTGTAGTTTTGTGGATTGGTTTCTGTGTCCTCTATTCTGTACCATTGGTCCACCCTCCTGTTTTGGTACCAGTACCATGCTGTTTTTGTTACTATTGCTCTGTAGTATAGTTTGAAGTCTGGTATCGCTATATCGCCTGATTCATACTTCCTGCTTAGCATTGTTTTTGCTATTCTGGGTCTTTTGTTTTTCCATATGAATTTCATGATTGCTTTCTCTATTTCTACAAGAAATGCCCTTGGGATTTTGATTGGCATTGCATTAAACCTATAGAGAACTTTTGGTAATATCGCCATTTTGATGATGTTAGTTCTGCCTATCCATGAACAGGGTATATTTTTCCATCTTCTAAGATCTTCTTCTATTTCTCTCTTTAGGGTTCTGTAGTTTTCATTGTATAAGTCTTTCACCTCTTTTGTTAGGTTGATTCCCAAGTATTTTATTTTTTTTGAAGATATTGTGAATGGAGTGGTTGTCCTCATTTCCATTTCAGAGGATTTGTCGCTGATATACAGGAATGCCTTTGATTTATGCGTGTTGATTTTATATCCTGCCACTTTGCTGAATTCATTTATTAGCTCTAATAGTTTCTTTGTAGACCCTTTTGGGTCTGCTAGGTATAGAATCATGTCATCTGCAAATAGTGATAATTTAAGTTCTTCTTTTCCTATTTTTATGCCTTTAATTTCTTTCGTCTGTCTAATTGCTCTGGCCAGTGTTTCGAGAACTATGTTGAACAGAAGTGGAGAGAGAGGGCATCCCTGTCTTGTTCCAGATTTTAGAGGGAATGCCTTCAATTTTTCTCCATTCAGAATGATGCTAGCCTGAGGCTTAGCATAGATTGCTTTTACAATATTGAGGTATGTTCCTGTTATCCCTAGTTTTTCTAGAGTTTTGAACATAAAGGGATGCTGTACTTTGTCGAATGCTTTTTCCGCATCTATCGAGATGATCATATGATTCTTATTTTTAAGTCTATTGATGTGGTGAATAACATTTATTGATTTCCATATATTGAACCAGCCTTTCATCCCAGGGATGAATCCTACTTGATCATGGTGCACAATTTTTTTGATAAGTTTTTGTATCCGAGTGGCCAGAATTTTATTGAGGATTTTTGCATCTAGGTTCATTAGAGATATTGGTCTGTAGTTTTCTTTCTTTGAAGTGTCTTTGTCTGGTTTAGGTATCAGGGTGATGTTGGCTTCGTAGAATGAATTTGGAAGTTCTCCCTCTTTTTCTATTTCCCGAAGTAGCTTGAAAAGTATTGGTATTAGTTCCTCTTTAAAGGTTTTGTAAAACTCTGCTGTATACCCATCCGGTTCTGGGCTTTTCTTAGTTGGTAGTCTTTTGATGGTTTCTTCTATTTCCTCAATTGATATTGGTCTGTTTAGGTTGTCTATATCCTCCTGACTCAATCTGGGCAGATCATATGACTTAAGAAATTTATCTATGCCTTCACTATCTTCTAATTTATTGGAGTATAAGGATTCAAAATAATTTTTGATTATCTTCTCTATTTCTGAAGTGTCTGTTGTGATATTGCCTCTTTCATCCCGTATGTTAGTAATTTGAGTTCTCTCTCTTCTTCTCTTCGCTAGCATGGCTAAGGGTCTGTCGATTTTGTTTATTTTTTCAAAGTACCAACTTTTGTTTTTGTCAATTTTTTCAATTGTTTCTTTTGTTTCGATTTCATTAATTTCAGCTCTGATTTTAATTATTTCTTGCCTTCTACTTCTTTTGCTGTTGTTTTGCTCTTCTTTTTCTAGGATTTTGAGATGAAGTATGAGATCATTTATTTGTTGGTTTTTTCTTTTTTTAAGGAATGAACTCCAAGCAATGAATTTTCCTCTTAGAACTGCTTTCAATGTGTCCCATAGATTCCGATATGTTGTGTCTGTGTTTTCATTTATCTCTAAGAATTTTTTAATTTCCTCCTTGATGTCTTCTATAACCCATTGATCATTCAGTAACCTATTGTTCATTCTCCAAGTGATGTATTCTTTTCCCTTCCTTCTTTTATCGTTGATTTTCAGTTCCATTCCATTATGATCAGATAGGATGCATGGTATTATCTCTACTCCTTTATATTGTCTAAGAGTTTCCCTGTGACATAATATATGATCTATTTTTGAGAAGGATCCATGTGCTGCTGAGAAAAAAGTGTAACTGCTTGATGTTGGGTGGTATATTCTATATATGTCAATTAAGTCTAGGTTATTAATTGTGTTATTGAGTTCTATAGTTTCCTTATTCAACTTTTGTTTGGAAGATCTGTCCAGTGGTGATAGAGGTGTGTTGAAGTCTCCCATGATTATTGTATGGTGGTCTATTAGACTCTTGAACTTGAGAAGAGTTTGTTTGATGAACATAGCTGCACCATTGTTTGGGGCATATATATTTATGATTGTTATGTCTTGTTGGTGTATGGTTTCCTTGAGCAGTATGTAGTGTCCCTCTTTATCCCTTTTGATTAACTTGGGCTTGAAATCTATTTTATTTGATATGAGTATGGATACTCCTGCTTGTTTCCGAAGTCCATATGAGTGATATGATTTTTCCCAACCTTTCACCTTCAGCCTATGTATGTCTTTTCCTATCAAATGAGTCTCCTGTAGGCAGCATATTGTTGGGTCTTGTTTTGTGATCCATTCTACTAGCCTGTGTCTCTTGATTGGTGAGTTTAAGCCATTAACATTTAGGGTTATTATTGAGATATGGGTTGTTCTTCCAGCCATATTTGTTTATTTATGTTACTAAACATGGTTTGTTTTCCTCTTTGATTATTTTCCCCCCTTTAGTGTCCTACCTCCCACTGTTGGTTTTCATTGTTATTTTCCATTTCCTCTTCCTGTAATGTTTTGCCAAGGATGTTTTGAAGAGATGGTTTTCTAGCTGCAAATTCTTTTAACTTTTGTTTATTGTGGAAGGTTTTAATTTCATCTTCCATCCTGAAGCTTAATTTCGCTGGAAACACAATTCTTGGTTGGAACCCATTTTCTTTCAGTGTTTGAAATATGTTATTCCAGGATCTTCTAGCTTTCAGAGTCTGTGTTGAAAGATCAGCTGTTATCCTGATTGGCTTACCCCTAAATGTGATCTGCTTCCTTTCTCTTGTAGCTTTTAAAATTCTCTCCTTATTCTGTATGTTGGGCATCTTCATTATAATGTGTCTAGGTGTGGGTCTCTTATGATTTTGCACATTCGGCGTCCTGTAGGCTTCTAGGATTTGGGGTTCTGTCTCATTCTTCAAGTCTGGGAAGTTTTCTCGTATTATTTCATTGAATAGATTGCTCATTCCTTTGGTTTGAAACTCTGTCCCTTCCTGTATCCCAATGACTCTTAAGTTTGGTCTCTTGATGTTATCCCATATTTCTTGGATGTTCTGCTCATGGTTTCTTAACAGTCTTGCTGAGCTGTCTATGTTCTTTTCAAGTTGAAATACTTTATCTTCATTGTCTGATGTTCTGTCTTCTAAGTGTTCTACTCTGCTGGTAGTATTCTCAATTGAGTTTTTAAGTTGGCTTATTGCTTCCTGCATTTCTAGGATTTCTGTTTGTTTGTTTTTTATAACCTCTATTTCCCTGTATAGTTGATCTTTTGCTTCTTGGATTTGTTTATGTAATTCATTGTTGAAGTGATCTTTCATTGTCTGATTTTGCTGTCTGATGTCTTCCTTGAGACTCCAGATCATCTGAAGCATGTATATCCTGAATTCTTTATCTGACATTCCATCTGCTGCAGCTATTACCTCTTCTAACATTGAGTTGACCTGCAATGCTTGTGGTCCTTTCTTTCCTTGTCTCTTCATACTGTTCGTGTTCCTTTCTACTTGGTGAAACTGTTGTGCTATTGAATTTTCCCCCTATATGTTTATATTGGTCTTGTATAGTTGCAAAGTCTCCCTCGCAGGCGCGGGCGGCGGCTCTGTCCCTCTGCGGGCCGCTAGGCTTGTTCTGTCGGTGGTCACAGTTCTGTCTACTTTGCAGGCGCAGGCAGCGGCACTGCCCCTCTGCAGGCCTCTGGGGCTGTACTGCCAGTGGGTCGCAGGTCCGCCTACCTTGCAGGCGCGGGGGGGGGCAGCTCTACCCTTCCTCAGGCCACTGGGCCTGTTCTGTCTCTTGGTTGCAGGTCTGGCCTGTTCTGATGGTGGTCACAGTTCCGTCTACCTTTCAGGCGCGGGGGGAAGGGGGCGGCTCTGCCTCTCAGCAGGCCGCTGCTCCTTTTCTGCCGGTGGGTCGCAGGCCCGCCTACCTTGCAGGAGTGATTGGAAGCTCTGCCACTCCGCGGGCCACTGGGCCTTTTCTGTCAGTGGTCACAGTTCCGCCTACCTGACAGGCGCGGGGGGTGGGGGGCGGCTCTGCCCCTCAGCAGGCCGCTGGGCCTGTTCTGTGGGTGGTCACAGTTCCCTCTACCTTGCCGGCGCAGGGGGAGGGGGCGGTTCAGCCTCTCTGCAGGCCGCTGCTCCTCTTCTGCCGGTGGGTCACAGGCCCGCCTACCTTGCAGGAGTGATTGGAAGCTCTGTCCCGCCGCGGGCCACTGGGCCTTTTCTGTCGGTGGTCACCATTCCACCTACCTGGGAGGCGCGGGGGGTGGGGGGCGGCTCTGCCCCTCAGCAGGCCGCTGGGCCTGCTCTGTGCGTGGTCACATTTCCCTCTACTTAGCCGGCGCAGGGGGAGGGGGCGGCTCAGCCTCTCAGCAGGCCGCTGCTCCTCTTCTGCCCGTGGGTCGCAGGCCCGCCTACCTTGCAGGAGTGATTGGAAGCTCTGTCCCACCGCGGGCCACTGGGCCTTTTCTGTCGGTGGTCACCTGGCAGGCGCGGGGGGTGGGGGGTGGCTCTGCCCCTCAGCAGGCCGCTGGGCCTGCTCTGTGCGTGGTCACAGTTCCCTCTACCTTGCCCGAAACATCTGTTTTAATTTCCTCACTACTTTTAATTGTTCCTGCACATAATATACTGATTTTAAAAGAAAGAAAATTGGCCCTTATGTCAAATGATGAGACACCTTTTAAACTACGGGTATCTAAATGAGTCACAAAAATCTCTGTGTTCATATGTTGTTTTATGAAGCTGACAAATTCCAAGAGAAGAGAAAGCGGCAACTCCAGGAAATGTTCTGCTAGGGCATTCCCCACAGTGCAGGATTAAATTGCCCCCTCACCAATGAAAAAAAAAGTGTGCATTACAGACAAAAATATTTTCTCCATTCACAGGCTAGGAAACTCCTTTGAGTAAATAGCTTTGTTGTATTCACTGCTGTAACTACAACAATTATTTTAGACATGTACAAAAATTGATGATTATTACAGTGACACAGTTATTAGGGATAATTTCTAGTTAGATTGTTTTTCTGTCAATGGATAAGAGGCAAAAATAATACTCTAGTAGTAATATTGGCTTGAGCTTCATTGGATTTAAATTAAGATACCAACTTGAACAGAGGGCAAATATGCTTAGCATGTGTTTCTGTGGCCTTCTGACAGAGACCATTGAGTGGGCAGCATGGACATGAGCTGGGAACATGGAGGGGCCCAGAGCAGAATTCCCAGAGGCTGGATGCTGCTTCAACTATGACCTATTTTTACTTGGTAAAAACAAAACATATTTATCCCAAGGAAACACCTCCCAATTCTATCTAACTTTTAAAACTGAAAGGCAGGAAATCACTTTGCTTATGGCTTTAAATTATTGTGTTTTTTGTCTTTTGTTCCTTGTTTTGTTTTGCTGCTCCTGCAATGGACTATTACCTCTGAATTTCATGGTCATCTACCAGCACTTAGATTTCATACAGAAAAATAATTTTTCCTAGTTTCTTTTCTTCTTCTTTCTCTCTTCTCACATAAATAAATCGGACATTCTAAAGCCATCATTTAAGTGCAGGCGCTTCTCTTTCTGGGGAATGAATAATGCTGGCCTAGTTATGACAAGTCAGTTTCTTTCTAAGATATAATATAAATTCTCAGTGTTAATTCAATGTTCAAAACTTACAAATGTGCCCATTTTTTTTCTGAAAGCCTTCTTTTAGGCATTTTATTCATAGTTCAATAATTAAAAGGGCCTAAATTTTGTTAAGAAAGCAGAATGATGAATCAACTTTGCAAAAGAGTTCAAAGTAGAGGAGCAAATTATGTGGGAAAGAATGGTTGTCCTGCAGTGGATGACCTATTAAAGTATGGGAGAAATTACACCTTGTTAATTGTTAAAACTACCCTGCATTCATTTCAAAAGACATAAAACAATCATCATATTTTGAATACTATAGATTAATAAGGCTTATGATGTTCACTCAGAGAAGAAAGACACTCATAACTTCTTGCTTTAGCAATCATTGTGAGCATATTGCATAATAATACACAGAACCCTGGATACAAATCTATATCAATAAATAAATACTGTTAATACTATTATTTATTTTCAAGTCATCTTAAACCAAGATAATAGATGTTGCTAAAAGGGTAATACAAATTTTCCCAATTGTCAAACGGTTCTGCCTATTTCCAAGTTACTAAGTATTGATTGCAATTTATATTTAGTGATTTATACCATAAAAATATGTTGTGAAACATTTGCAGCATTTATGTTTTACTGCTCTAGCCATATGCCATCAAATTCATATGCTTGCTCTATTCTTTCTTGTCAGTTCAGAACCTGTTTTTAAGTCATGTTCCACTGAATGACTCATAAATTAAAGACATTTGTAAAAAACAGCAAAGAACTAAGATTTCTTTTTGATAATGTTTCATGCATTAAGTTAGAATAGTTTTTCTATAATATTTAAGTAAATGATTTAATAGGTTAACATCTGAGAAAGAAGCAAGAAACATAGGAAGGTCAAACATTTAATACTTACTGTACAGAATAGTTCCATTTAAAGTATTTGTTTTTATAGTCAAGTAGATGGTGACAATTCTGCTGTGTTCTTTCTCTGGGATAAACTTTGACTTATCCAGGGTTGTAAAAAAAGGCAGTTCTAAATAGGAATTCCCATTGAAATATGGAAAAAATAAACTTGCATCTGAAAATAAGGAGAGCACAATAACCAAATACTGTTAATACTATTATTTATTTTCAAGTCATCTTAAACCAAGATAATAGATGTTTTGATAATATTCTATTGCTACTTATTTACATAAGAACCTAGTAATTATAGTCAGCATTCATTCAAAAAGGTAGCACTGATATATTTATTTATTTATTTTTAAAGGAGTGTTCTTTTTTTAAAAATACATTTATTCACTCATTTAATTTTTTATGTGGTGCTGAGGATGGAACCCAGGGTCTCGTGCATGCGAGACGAGCGCTCTACCACTGAGCCACAACCCCAGCACTGATATATTTAAATATTAAGTACAACTTTAAGAAATTTAGCTATAGACGTATTATAGTTCTATAGTTATTATCTCAAATAATTAACTACCAGTCAAGAGGAAGATTTAGTGTAAGAATTTGATATTTCTGAGTGAGTTTTAAAGTCAACAAAAACTCCAAAGTTACATAAAATATGTATATATTTGCATTTGTGAAATCATAGTTCTCCTCTGATTCTTAAAATATTCTGTGACACAAATGGTATACATGTTTGCCAAAACATTAAGTTATACAATTAAATTCAATGATCTTATTTGATACAGACATATCTCAGAAAAAATGAACAAATCTGTGAAAACAAATATTATAAAACTGCCATATAGAGAGATTCTGTTAATATTCATTAATATTTAGTGCTTCCCAATAATTCTTAGATGTTTTATAACTGGTATTCCTATAATGTGGAATATTTGCTTTAGAAGTATTCTTCTAGAATTATTAATATTTTAAGTAAATAATCTCACAAAATCTTGGAGCATATAAAATTTGAAAAACACTTATTTTATTGGTTCACATCTACAATTATATCTAAATATAATTGGTACATTGAACAAATATACATGGAAATTTTGGAAATGCAATGTTTTATTTTTAGTTTTTTTTCAAAATGGGGGAACATTTTTCTGCCACTGGATGAAAATTTGGCACTCCCTCCAAGTCCTACCTTCTCTCTAAGTCATACAGCGAATCAGAAACTAACCCAGACTAAGAAATGTATTATCACTTAACTTTTCCTTTAGAGATAGGACTTTTGCCATCCTCCTCCACCAGCCAAGGCATGTAGGTGACCTGTCACCAGCTGTCTGCCTTGAGGATAGGAGAAAGCTGGTTTCTGTTCTTTTTTTATCCTTACCCCTCACCTTTAGGCTAGCTGACATTGCTAACCCTTCCAGTTCAGCATGCTGAGACAGAGAGGAAAACTGAAGAGGGGTGAAGTACACAGTAAAGGACAGCTGTTACTGCTAGCAGTTGATACCCTTGTAAATAGGGTCTTTGCTCTCTAGGAACGGCAGGTGTTTCAAACTAATTGCTTACTTAATGGAGGGGGCACCAGATAATATACAGGATGCTCAATTAAATTTGAATTTCAGATAAACAGTAAATATTTTTTTGTAATATATTTGTCCCAAACATTGCATGGAATATACTTAAACTATTTTTTAAAAAAATTTAAATGTAACCAGTTGCCTTATCTTTTCAGTTGTATTGAATCTGACAGGCTTATGATTCAAGAGCATATGTGTATAATCTTCAGAAGCTGTGCAGTTAGCAAGTACAGCTCCTAAGACCTATAGTTGTAGGATTCTGCTTTTGGTTGGGCATTTCTACCTTGGTCTTGCTCTGATTTTTTAAGGTTATGTACATAATTGCTGTTGACAATGCCTTGCCTGTGTTAGTGAAAAAGTTGCGCTCACACCTTGTTATGGTTTGGATGTGAGGTGTCCCCCAAAAGCTTACAAGTGAGACAATGTAGGGAGGTTCAGAGGAAAAATGACAGGATTGTGAGAATCAACCCAGTCAGTAAATTAATCCTCTGATTGGGATTAACTGAGTGGTAATTGAAGAGGTAGGGTGTGGCTTTGGTGTATATATTTGTATCCAATGAGTGGAGTCTCTTCCTCTGCTTTCCAGATCACCCTGATGTGAGCCACTTCCCTCTGCCACACTCTCTCCCCATGGTGTTTAGCCTCACCTCCATCCCTGAGGAATGGAGCTGGCCTTCTATGGACTAAGACCTCTGAAACCGTGAGCCTTCAAATAAACTTTTCCTATTTTAAAATTGTTCTGGTTTGATCCATTAGTCACAGCAGCAGAAAAGCTGACTAAACCACACCTTAAATAGGCAAGGATGACTGTTTTTTTCCAAGGCAGTTGCAAAAGGAGAGATAGAGGTCTGAGATGAATTTGAAATAAAGGGTGAAAGAATTTTTAATGGCTGGAGCAAGAGGGGGAACACAGGCCATGTGTGTTTGCTAGTGGACTTTGTAGTACAACTTGGAGCATGGGGTCCCTCGAACTTAGGCTCAGGACTACCCCCCACGAAAGTTGAAATTTATGATGCTTTCTTTTTAAAGCTTACATTTCAAAGTGATGGCCCCCCGGGGTCCTCGGATATTTCTGGTTTGGAAAACTGGCTAGAGGTTTTTGATTTGCATATCAAAGGGGGCACAGAGAAAGCATTTACAATTGAAAGTTTCCTAAAGTACAACCTCTAAGAAGGGGAAGGTTGGTCAGGAATCTGGAGTCAGGAAGAAGCCTGTTTAAAGTTGGTCAAACCTAGAGGAGGATTTAAAGCCATCTTGGCCCATTATTAGAAGAATCATTTGGGCCGAATATAAAATGTCTCTACTTCAACTACATTTCCTGAGGGGTATTCCAGCCTGTGATAAAAATTTCTACACTCCCTGCCATTCCCTGCCCTCCCTGTATGTACATATTTATTTATTTATTTATCTTGTTTTATTAATTTTTGTTTATTTATATATGACAGTGGAATGCATTACAATTCTTATTACACATATAGAGCACAATGTTTTATATCCCTGGTTGTATACAAAGTATATTCACGCCAACTCTAGATAAGGCAGAGGGGTAGGAAGGGAAGGGAGGGGGTGAGGGGAATATTGGGTTAAAAATGATGGTGGAATGTGATGGACATTATTATCCAAAGTACATGTATAAAGACACGAATTGTACAGCCATATTTAATTCTCAAACATTCTCTTATTCTTATTTTCTCTCCCTCTCTCTCTCTCTCTCTCTCAGACACACACATACATACACACACACACACACACACACACAGTTTTAACTTATCAGGTATAAAGTATTCCCTATCAGTACAGGATCTAATTTTCCAAGTGGTACAGTTGTAGCTACCCCAGACACACACTGTCACATGTGGTCTGTGGAAGAGGGTCAGGAGAGATGTTCAAAAGTTAGCTTTCTACAAAATTGTTTTCCACAAAATCATGTCTCTAAATGTCCTCTCTCCTTTCTGAATACTGACCCTTTTGATAGCAATAATATATCCCAGTTAATTTTTGTTTTTAAATATGATATTTTATTTGCAGCATAATTTTCTGATGTGTGAAATAAAGTTTACTTTTTAGCACTCTGTTTATGTCTACAAGTTGTGAAGTTAATTTTGAGAGTCAGATACAAATAATTTAATCCATCTATTTAAACAAATTCTAAGTTATATAGTAACACACATTTTACTATTTCTTAGCCTTCTACATACAATTTTAAACTCCTGGAAATTTTCCTACCTACATTTTCCTTTACATTTCTTAAAATTCTGCATTTTATTGTATGATTTTTCCCCAAAGATTATTAAAGCCTCGTTAGCAAATCTTTAATTAGTGCTCATATGCTTAGGAGTTTCTATAATACTAAACATTCCCTTTTATTAAAACGTTCTCTTTCTCACCTTTCATGACACTTGGCTGTCTTCTTGCCTGCCCAATAACTCTTTTGCAAACCAGTTTTTCAGCCTTGCCATAATGCACATATTTTCCAAGGCAGTGTCCTGGGTCAGCTAATCTCTGTCTTTTCTAAAAACTGCTCCTCCTCCAGTTTCTTACTCACAGTGCTTACTAATCCAAGTTTAGAAATTCAGCATCATTATCCACCCATCTAGTTGCTGGTTCCTGACACCTCTTCCTTAGATCAAATTTTGCAACTTTCCTTCTGCTACCACTATTCTTATTTGAGTTATCATTACATTTCAACTCAAGAAGTATACCAGCTCCTTCCCACCCAGCCTCTCTTCCCATTGTTTCTATGAGCTGTCATTGCAGTCACATCAATTTTATCTAGTTGTAATCATCTAAGACCTTTGGTCAAAACCTTCAGTGGTGCAAGATAAATTATCAAGTAATCCAAGTCTTCCATGGTTTTATTTTCAGTGCTTCCACACATTATACATCTACTGGTGTGGTCGAACCACACTTCTTCTTATGGTTGAACCACACTTTCTTCTCTTGTTCTGCTTGTGTTCATTCACACTGTTCTGTCTGAAATGTCCTTTAAGTCCTAGGTATAGATATTCTCTCTCAATTGAAGACTTGAATAAATCCCCAGATTGGAACTTCCTTTAGCATTATATCTACAACTCTTATAGTCTATTTGTTGTTTTCTGTCTTTTGTTACAATCATTGGTTTAAAATTTGAATCAAATTGACCATATAGTGAGCTAGTTATTTTGGGTGAGGGAGGTAAATTTACTTAAATGAGTACAAATGAAATGAGTTCTAAATAAATGAGTTCTAAGAAGACATTTGAGAAATATGAGGTAAGGAGGCGAGTTTGCTCTTGTGTGTCCAGAAAAGTCCATGGCACAGTTGAAATTTCACCAGATGGAGCAGAATATTTGGCAGAAGCTGGACTGCACATGCACCACTTTTTAATGTAATTATAAGTAGAAAAACCATATGCCAATCAAGTTAAAATGCAATATGGCTAGCTCTACACTGAAGGAAATTTGGATGAAAAATTTGGATAGCATTATGGCAGAGGAAAATATTTAAGATTACAAAGAGGTGAACTTGAGTTTTCAATAAATATGGTCCTTAACATATAACTTGGAAATTATTTGGATGTTGCATATGTGTTGATTCTACCACAGATATGGTTTTACACACT